GCCAGCTTCTCCATCAATGGGCCCTGATGTGGGTCAAACTCTCTTTCCCAACTGTTTGCACTGATAAACCCACTGGATCACCAACTCCATGGGCACAGACTAAACACAGTAATACACATCATGACAAAATCACAAAAGGGATGAGGTGAAGCATATTATATCAGTTTTTCTGGATATCCTTTAGACAGCATCAACGATAAAACAAAAAACTAAACAAAACAGAACAACTCCGTGGAGTTAAATATCCTTTCTGAAGCCATGTGTATCGTCTCTTTCATACTGGATACTGGAACACTCCCTCATCAAAGCCAAAAGTTCATTTGTTCATTTTATAAGCTGTCACATTGTGATCATTGTGATTCTTAACTGTTGTGAGCCATGGGCCACTTTGGCAGTCTTGGGAAGCCTCTGGATGCCTCCTTATAACAATGTTTTTAAACACACGAAATAAAATATGGGAAATGTCAAAGGAAATCAATTACATTGAAATACAATTCTATCCACAGATCCGTGTAACTCAAGTTAAGAACCCCTGAAATTTTCATCTTCTGATGAAAGCTCACTCAGAAAGATGTCAAAAGTATTTTATAATTCCAAATAAGACACATGACTTAAACCAGAACTGGAAAGGAATTTGTTCTTTCTTGACACATCAAAAGCCTACCTAGTAGTTTGCTCATGTTATTAATCCTTTGCAGGTGAATATAGTAGCGCAGTAGAAGAATCCATGTAATATCTACTTTAGTCTGAGTCTTTTTTGTAGAATCTGTGTCATCATCCATGTCTTCACCTTGGTAAGAAAGTGTATAGCCAGTCGGGAAGACAACTTGGTAGTTATCTGAAAGTAAAAAAAAAAAAGGTTTGTAAGACAAATATTATGCTTTCCTTGAAAACTAACCATTTATGAAAAAAAAAATGACCACAACTCATAAAGAAAAAATTGACAAATGGCAATACATTCAATTTAAAATTTTTGTGTATAACAAAATACACCAAACACAAAGTTAAAAGACAAACCATAGACTGAGAAAAGATATGTAGCACACATATGAATTGTTTTTCTCTAATATGTGTAAGACCTTGCACCAATCAATAAGAAAAAGTCAAACAGTTCAACAGAAAAGTGGGCAAAGAATTTCAACTGGCCACTCATAGAAAAGGAAGTCCAAATGGCCAAAATGTTAGCATCACTAAAAATCAGAGAAATGCAAATTAAAATGAAATACTATTTCATATCCCTCAGGAACTGACAGACACTAAAATCTGAAAATAATAAATACTGGTAACAAGGTGAGGAAACCGAAATTCTCAAACACTATTTGTGAGAGCAACTTTTTGGGGAAGCAATTTGACAGGATCTAATAAAATTAAAAATGCAGATACTCGTATATGTATAATAGGAGTCTTGCACAAGATATTCATGGTAGTGTTCTTTGCAATATCAAAAACAATGGAAACTTGGAAAAATAAACAGAAGTCTATTCATTTGATGGCATTTAAAATGAATTAATTAGATCTATTAGGGAGAAAGTATAGTGTAGTGGCTTGGTTCAAATTCCAGCTGTACTACTCACTAGAGTGTGAACTTGAACCTCTCTGTGCCTTAGGTCTCTGGGATGTTGACCTTCTGAGTCTTAATTTCCTCATCTTTAAAATGGGCATATAAGGGGCCAGCCTAGTGGCATAGTGGTTGGGTCTGAGCCCTCTGCTTCGGCAGCCCAGATTTCACAGGTTCAGATCTTTGGTGGGAACCTACACATTGCTCATCAAGCCATGCTGTGGTAGCATCTCACATACAAAAAACAGAGGAAGATTGGCACAGATGCTAGCTCAGGGCCAATCTTCCTCATCAAAAAAAAAGGGAGGGGCATGATAAGGATGGTTCAGGATAGATCTTGACAACATATACTGAGTTAACGAACAGGTTAAAGATGATATATAGCAGTACCATTCATATAAATTTGAAAAAACTCAGTGTATTTTGTATTATATATGTACATCCATACACATATACACAAATAAAATATTTTGTTAGGATATTGGCTGCCTCTGGGGAGAAAGGGAGGGAAGATGAATAGAATCTTCTATGGTTAATGGTCTATGTATTGCTGTCTTGAATAATAAGATGAATCACCATCTACTCACCATCCAGTTTAGCAAACAGAATATTCCCAGTACTTTTGGAGTACCCTGTAAACCTCTCTCTAATCCCATTTCCTTCCCTCTGCTTGAGCCCATCTCCCAGAAATAACCACTACCTAAAATTTTGTATTAATAATTCCATAGCTTTCCTTTACCCTTTAATCATATATTATGTATTACATATAATTTAAAAGGTAATACATTGCTAATTTTGTCTTTTTGGAATGTTATAGGGAGAAAATCACATTGCATGAATTTATCTATGATATTACTTTTTCACTAAACATTATGCTTTCATAATTCATTGCTTTTTCATTGCTGTATTGTATTCCATTATATGAATATACCACAATTTATTTATCTGTCCTACTGTTAATGGACATATGGATCACTTCTAATTTTTGGTTTCTTGATTGCATTTTTATCTTTGCTATTATAAACAAGGCTGCTATGAATATTTAAGTATATATTAGCTGGTACATATGTGCACAAATTTCCCGGAAGTAGAATTACTAGATTGTTATTTTTCAGGAGTCTTTTGACCAATTTTGCCTTTTGTTCTTCCACATAAATTTTAGAATCAGTTTGTCAAATTTCACAAATCAAAACTTGCTGAAAATGTTAATGAAACTACATTAAATCTATAGATCACTTGGAGATTTGACATCTGGTAATAACATCAAGTCTTCTTAACTATAAGCATGGTATGTTATCTCTTTCAATAAAATTCCATCTTTTTTTGTTTTATAACCTTTGTTACATTAATTCCTGGATATCTCATACATTTTTGTATAATGTAAGTGTTGTAAATGATAACCTTTAAAAGTGCATTATCTATTAAAGGTGTATAGAAAGAAAATTTTATATTTAGCAATCTTGCTAAACGTTCTTATGGTCTATAGATTTTGAGAATTGTCCATGTGAATAATCTGTAGCTAATGACAGCTTTTTCTTCATTCCCATTACTTGTATCCCTTATTGCTTATTCCTTTTGCTTATTATTGTGCAGAGTAGGACTTGCAGAACAAATTTGAATAGAAGTGTGATAGCAATCATACTCCTGCTTTTAAAGAGAATAATTTTAGTATTTGAATATTAAGTATATGTCCAGTAGTTCTTTTCCCCCACTTTAACTTTTTCAAATTAAGGAGATCTTTAACTACTATTTTAAAATCATGAATGGCTGTTGAATTTTATTGAATTTTTCCAAACTTTTTGAGTTGATTATTTTCTATTTTCATTTGTTAATGTAGTTATTTCATTTAACGCATTTTCTAATGTCAAGTTATATTTCACTTCTGGAAATAATCCAATTTGACATGATATATCTTTTAACACTGTTTATTTTGAACAAAGTTATACACTTGCATGATCAAAACTAAAAATTCCTATCACAGGAAGCAAGTATTTCTAACCTTGTCTACTATACTTCTTTTAATGGTTAGTTCTGGCTCTTAAAATAATTCCCTTATAGCAATTGCCTGGATCATCAGTTTTAGAAAATAGATCTACTGACTTTTTTCTGTGACAGATGAGGTATTAGCTCACATAACACTCCTCTTCACCTCAAAATTTTTATACTTATATCAACATTTTTAGTTCCCCTATTATTTTTATATAAGTCTATCAATGTCCTAAAAGTTCTTTTTTTCTATTTCTAATATGATCACTATCTCCTGATGTCTTTGTAAGCTAATGACATCTGCACCCCCTCACCTCCCTCCACTTGCCAGGTTTTCTATCTTCAAAGTCAATAACACTTACTTTCTGTTCTGTATCCATAACAAACCCTTCTTTGTTTCAACTACAAGTTGTAAATCAATAAATAATGCTTAAGTTATGATTGTATAAGTACTGTTCACTGCGATGACTAAATCTCCTTCACTGAGGATGAGTGTCACAACCCTGTGACCCCCAAAGGATGCAGTTCTTAGCACCAAGATCAATTGGGTTGCTTTTACTTAGACCAATTCTTCAAAATCATGTCATATTGTAATTGGCTTCAAATTTGGACCATGAATTCTTGAAGAGAATTTTCTTCTTAGAATTTCTGAATGCCTTTTTCTCCTTGTTGAAAAAAGCAACATTTGCATTCTTCACCATCTTCCTAACATCTTGTAGCTTTTTAGTCACTTTCCTGCTGCCTAGAATCCATTCGTGCTCCCTGAATACATTCTTGAGGTTGCAAACTTGCTGCTTTCATTCGTACTGATGTATTTCTAAGCTGCTGCATGGCCAGCAACACAGACGGTTTCTGCCACCCTTCCTCTTTCCCTCCTCCTTTCCTTCCTTCCTTTTCTTTTCTCTTTTTTCTATCTTGCATATACTTCTTTGTTCTTTTTTGCAACTTTGTGTGCTGAGGTACATTTCCAAGTACTAACTTCATTTTAAAAAGTTCACTGAAAGAAAAACACTTGAGTCCTTACAAGGCCCTTGTCCTTGACTGATTGTGGAGCCAAACATGATTTTGGTTGAAACTCATTTTCCCTTAAAACTTCGAAAGCCTTGCTCTACTGCTTTCTAGTACCTATTACTGCTGGTGAGAGCCTGATGCTAGTCATATTCGCACTTGTATTTGACCATTTTTTCCTCCTTTGTAGTGTTTTTAATGAACTCCTTGTTATTTGCGGTGATTTAAAATTTCATTTTGTGTCTGGGCCTCAGTCTTTTTCATTCATGCTGCTTGGAACACAGCAGGCCTTTCCACCTGAAAGACTCACCTCTCCTTTCAGCCCTGCAAAATATTCTTATATTTCATATAATATTTTTATATTTCATCACAGAAATAAATATAAGAACATGTTTATTCCCTGCCTCTCTCTCTCAGCCCACATATGTGGGCATTTGATTCTGGCAGATGTGACGCTGCAGTGTTGTGAAGAAGGCTGGTCTTTTCAATAAAAGGTTCTGAGTCAATTGTATATTATACGGAAAAAAATTAATCTCGACTTCAGCCTCACACCATACACAAGAAAAGGTGCCAGATGAATTATAGATCTAAATGTGAAAAGTAAAACAAAGCTGGTAACATAAGAGGGCATCCTTATGATTTTTGCATAGGAAAAGATTTCTAAAACTGAACACAAGAAGCATAAACCATTAAAGAAAAGATTTATAAATGGGAAAACGTTAACAGAATGAAAAGGCAAAGCACAAAGTGGGAAAAGATATTCACAATACATATAATCTACAAAATGGTCAGATCCAGAATACTTAAAGAAGCTCTCCATATCTCTGAGAAAAAGACAGAAAATTTCCAAGAAAAATTGGCATGATTCTTAAATAAGGAGTTCCCAAAACAGACTACACAAAAGCCAATAGTATACATAATAGCGCCCTACTTTTTTAGTCATCAGGTAAATTTTAAACTAAAACCACTTTGGAGAATTTCTTGGCAGTATTCACCGAAGCTGAAAATACATATACCTATGACCCAGCAATTCCAATCCTTGGCATATACATAAAAATGTGCACGTCTGTGAACGAAAATGTAATGTGCAAGTGTATTCATAGCAGTGTTGTTCACAATAACTCCCAAATATTTATCAACAGTAGAATAAACACTAACTGTGTTATTACATCAACCAAAAGGATGAATCACATAATGTTGAAGAAAAGAAGCCAGATACGAAAGAATACAGACTGTATATTTCACTTACACAAAACTCAAATTCTGGCAAAACTAATCTATCTGTT